TAATAAGCTAATTTAATCAGTTAGCCAAAATTGTTGATTTAGTTATTTATTCGCTATCAACTAATTCAATCAACTACTCGTTATCGGTTAATTCAACCGCTAACTGCTAATTGTCTACCATGACTTGTGTAACGGGGATCGGATTAGGCCATGAAATTTGTGAAACTATGAACATCAAAAGAAAAAAAGAGAAGAAAGAAAATCGTAACAAGAGTGTTGTGATTAAAGTCTAATGAACAAAGAAGAAGTAGTTCCACTCACAAATGTGCGTACAATTACAATAACACAACCCTTTACCTTTCAATCAATGGAATAATGTACTTGTTATTACATTTCATTTTCTTTATCTTATGTGTGTGGGGATAAGTTTAAGGCGTTAATTATTGACATCATATCATGCAATTTTTTGTCCCACAATGCTTACTATCAAGTTGTTTTAAAGGGACGTTATTGGAATTTTGTTCTCCAATGCTCAAGATAAAGGTGTTTTAAAGGGAAGTTTTGGGGATGATTGCATGCTGATTCTTGATTTTTATTTTATTTATTTTATAATTGTTCTTATTTTATTTCTTATTTGATTATTGTTTCGACGAAAATGCTATTTTCGAAAAGCAAGCATTTTGAAAATAGAATATTTATATATAAATGTCAATATTAAAGATTAAGTGACATGAGTCGTTCATATGACTCGTTAGGTATATACTACAATGAATTTTCTATCTCATATCATATAATAGGCTAGATAGATAATTTGATCAAATTAATACATAGCATATTATTATTTTATCAATCAACAATGATAAATATAATTTGAATATATAAATGTAGTTATAACAATGTATTTTATTTTGCGATGTGTCGGGAATCCGTGTCGAGATTGAACCGGCAAACGAGAGCTCCCATCGCCCCTGAACAACTGCGACCTACAAAAGGTGCTAGATGGGTTCGAGGCGTTAGAACTTTGATGCTTAAGTCAGTACAAAGAAGATGAAGAGAATAAACTCTGTAAAATAATTTATTCAGTTTGCAGAGTGTGTTGAAGAGAGTTTGCAAATTTATCTCTCCTCCCTCCTCCTCCCCATCCCCATCCCCCTCTTTTATAGGAGAATACCTGCTCGAATTATCTACCCAAGTTACCTATGGTCAGCTGCCATCTTTTCTCCATCCTAATCACATATATGAGTTATCATTAGATTAGTTTTTATCCTCATGGGTTGTGGTTCAGTTATGATCGACTGCATTCATCTTCCCTCAAGTCGTTGCCCTCAAAATGGTAGTTTATTAAGTCGCTCTAGCGTTGTCAAGTCGTTTTATTCCTTGAGACTTAGGATTAGGTTTCTTAAACTGCAACGTAGCATTCCAAGGCTTTAGGTCATGGTGGTCTTACCTGAGTAACTTAGGTACCCTTAATCTCATTAAGTCGTCCCCATAACCAACCTCGACATACTTTTGGCCCTTAGATCGTTCCTTGACGTAATCGTACTTCGATAGTTTTTGGCTCCTTGTGTGTGGCTGCATCATTTTGTATATACAATAATGGATTCGAAGTTAATTATCAATAAAAAATAATTTGTGTATCATATATGAAAACTGTAACAAGTAAAAATATTACAATTAAGTTTTAAAATATATATGCAATTCAAGTTTTTATAACAATGATTTTACAATTCGCATTAATATTAGTTCAATTTTTTTCACAAAGATACTTGTAAAAATTTCTTTATTATATATATAAACTATGAATATCAAATAAGTAGATCAATTAGATGTATCATATCTAAAAAAAGCAACAATTTAAATACGTAATTATTATATTTAAAGTACATGCATTATTCTGAAACACTTAAGTAATTAACATATATAATTGCGAAAAACAAAAAGTTACACAGAATAATCTATATATATATAAACAGATTTACCATTTTTTAAGAATAGTAAGTCAAAATTTTGGTCAAATTCGGACATATTAATTATTTACTATTAATAGAAATGTTTTTTCTTTAGCTATTATTTTAACATTCCTTTAATCACGGATAACTTAATTAGTTGCATATCACATTAATTAATCACATTACCAAAAAAATCGGCGTCCTATTTGTTTGGATAGCAAGTGAAATTTTTGAACTGATTTAAATTTGTTTAAATTGATAGGATAGCAAGATATTTTATAGAAACAAATAATCCCTCAATTGAAGGGATTTAATATTCAAAAATACACAATCCAATCAATATTTTATCGAGTCTGTTGAGAGATTCTATACAATTCAACAAAATTGTATATAATTAAAAACTCATTTTTTTTTAATTGAAGGGATATAGAATTTTAAAACTCATTTTTTAATTTGGTTTATCCGATAATTCAAATAAACTAAAATCCCTTAAATGAAGGGATTTAATGTTTCTGCATCCAATAAATACCGTACATACTAAACAGAAAATACACCATACACGCATCTATAAAATACACATTCCCAAATATCAAAAACAACATCATTCAGCAATGGAAATCTCCTTCGGTGTGATTAACGTATTCGAAGAAATAAGAGATATCCGCTAAAACTTCATGTGGTTTCAATGAATGAGCACGAGTCACCAAATCTTCAAGACAACATCTTGAAGATCCTTTTTTCAAGATAGGGAGGTATTTCTCTATTTAATTTTTATTTATTACTATTTTAACTACATACACTATCATGTTGTTTCATCATAAATTTCTTATATTTGTAGGGGGCACAAATCAGTGGTGTGGTATGCAATGTTTATATTTCGAGGATGATAAATGACCTACAGGAAGGCAATGTCTATTGTATCCGTAATTATGAATTGGATAGTAACTTCAGTGACTATATGTCGACCACGACTCAATTCAGATTGATCTTCCATGGACGCACTCAAATCGTACAATCAAGCACTTCATTCGAATGACCCGACTATGGAATCAACAAAAATCTGGGAATGGCAAGGCAAAGATACATGATTATCATCATTAGGCAATAATATGGACGAATGTTGTCAATCTACAATAAGAATTTATTTTTTCCTATTCAATAATAGTTTTATTTTAATATTATATTTTATGGTTTGAGAACTTGGGATGATTGAATAAAACATGTTATTTGCTCTTGAATATATTTTGTTTTTGGTTCATGCATGGTATTACGTATTTTATTTAACATTGTTTATTCATTCTTTCTTTATTATTTAACTCAATTAAAAATATCATCATACAGACTAATACATTCATAAACTTAAAAAATAAAAATAACAAAATTAACCGATTTTTATGTAAAATATTATACATATTCGACATTTTGTTTTTGTTTTCTTATCCCCATTTGAAACTGAAATTTGTTTTTTGTTTAGGTTTTCTGGTTCGTAATCTGTAAACTATTGAAATTCTTCCTAAATATTATTTTTCATATAAAAATATAAGAATATAAATAATCAAATTTGTCATTAATGCAAAACAAAAAAAAAAAGAAAAAACAAAAAGAAAAAACACAAAATACGTGCTTATATTAATTTTAAGAAATCAAAGTAAAACAGAGTTTGTTAATGACCAAACTCTTTAGAGTTTATCCATTTCAAAAAGAATAGATTAATTTTACATGATATATAAAATTTAAGAATTCAAATTAGAACATAGATTGTTAATGATCCATTTCAAAGAGAATAATCTATACTGTAACCGTATTTAATTTAAAGTAGAATCAAACAAATTATAAAATAATATATTGGAAATTTTAATAGTTAGTATTTTTATATTAACTATATAAAATTAAAACGTGTGCTTAATCAATATTCTTATTCATTTCCTAAAAAAATACACGTGTTAAAAAAACACTGTAAAAAACACATAACAAACGAGATCTCCATAAAAAAACTTTAAAAAAATTGACAATCATATAAATCAATTAACTACAACAAAACTTTGTAACTTGAATCTGTCAATTTATGTTCGAAATCTAAGTAAAAATATCAGCTCTTCAATTTTTTACTAATAAATTTATAAACTCAAGTATTCAGTCGTATTTATTTCTGTTTTTTATTTTTCTACAAAAAAACTTTTGAATTTAAATCAAATATCGATAATTATTTTTCAGTTTGAGTTGCGCACCTTTTCTTCATTCCAATTACGAATAACTTCAGCAAGGCTTTCGGTAGGGCAAACAAAGCAATACCTTTAATTAGAGCAAAGCCTGCATAACACGAAAATAAATAAAAAAAAAAAATCGAACAAGTTTCGTTGGAACCGAAATAAACGCACAATCTTTGTTCGTTTCTGAAAGAAAAGCATTTTATTTCATCGGATCTGAAAAAATTATGCAATATAAACGCATTTCATCGTCGAATTGAACAGAAAATTGTGTTTTATTTTCGAACAAAAATGAAAACAGTAGTCCTTCTTTGAAAACGAGCTTAAATCCGAAAGAAAACGTCATTTTTACGACTGGAACATATATTTTGAACCGATAACATAGATTTCATAAGTATAGATATGTACATATACATATATCTGACCAATAAGACTTATTTTTTCTTGCAAAAACATGTAAGATCCAACAGATCCGAGTGACAATCTTCATTTTTCTACGTAATTGTTTCACAATTTTGTTCTGATTTTCGAAAAAAAATCGGAATTAAGCGGTTGAAGAGAGAAAATGCGCAGCAAAATGAAGATAACCCTAAATTTTCGGTGGAAAAAAGCTTTTATACTTGGCGAAAATGGTTGTAAACCGTTCATAATTTTGGGCCACCAATTACGGTCAACATTAAATTTTCCTAAAATTATGAGTTTTACCATACTAATCGATTTTCATATTTTATCTTAGGCTACCAATCGTCGAAAAAAAGAAAAATAAACAAAAAAATCAAATTCGAATTCAAATGGAAATTATGGAAGAATGAGAGAAAATCAGACGAGATTATTTCGAGCGTCCGAGATTCCCACGTAAATGAAACAAACCCTATAATTTTTAGCATAATTGTTTTATACTAATTTTGTATCATTCCTAATTTTTGTTGACTTAATCTAAGTCGTTGGATTATATTGTAGGTTTTAAACTTGAGCTGGGTCATTGAATTATTTGTAGCCGGCTTGCCAAACAAGCCCGCTAAATTGTATATGTATGTGTCGGGTTATTAACATTACTCATGTTGGCCCAATTTAATTATAAAATGTGTTTTTTTATTTTATAACAAGCCAATATTATTAGTGACAATATTTGCATTTAAGTTTTTTTGCAAATTAATTATGAATCTATGATTAATAATAATAAGTAATGAAATTTTATTTTAAAACTTTTTTTATTATTTAAATTGTGAAAAAAATAATACATATTATTTATAACAATTCTACTACATTATTTACAAGTATTCTATTTTATCATATAAAAAATGTTATTAGTTTATCCCACTGCCGGTAAAAGATCAATAGGATCTGACTTCGTTTTCATCTTCTTACGGGATGCAGACAGGTCAGAACATCTCTAATGGAATGGCCTAGCTTTGCGACAAAAGGGAGAGGAGGTCTTGTGAGACTAGACGCAAAAGGTTCAGAAAGGAGAGATTACATTGAGCGGAATGAATAACTGGGGATAGACGAAGTTGAAGTAATTTGTAGACAAATATTTTATATATAGGAAACAAAAAAATTAATTTTTATTATTTACTGTTTATATGAATAATTATTTATTATCCACCAACCAATATTACTTAATGTAATAAAAACAAACTTAATACAGATCAACAAACATTCAAATTTTACTATAATTACATTATTTATATTTTAATGTCCTTCTAATAAAATAATATATTTATTGCATATTTAGTTACATAAAGTTATTTTTATTATTTGCACAAAAAGAGCTTTTTAGTAGATACAAATATAATTGGCGAATCAATATTTTGTAGACATCTTGGCATCATCTTCCGACAATGGATGGGATCATGATGGTGATAAGATATTGGTTCCTCGGATGGTGCTTAACTCTTCCAATGTGAGGATATCTTTCAAGTTCCAGAGATGACAATTCTCACTTATGGTTTCTTATGCTATGACGATAAATAAGAGTCAATGTCTATCTTTATCGCACATTGATTTGATGAGTCAGTTTTCCTCACTGTGAATCCATAGGGTTTGAAATATTAATATATGTGTTGTTAACTTATGTCTCACCTTATTATCTGACATAACAATGACAAATGAATATTATTTTCCGTGCATCGCACGGGCTACGCGCTAGTTAGAAAGATGACCCTTATGTCGAAAACTCTGCAAGTTAAATATATTTAATTTACACTTTAGAGTTTACAGTCATAAAACTTTGTAATTTGGATATACTCGTTGCAGTGCACACAAAATTGACATAAATAAACGATTGAAATGAGATGGTAGAAATGGATGACGAATGAAATTATGTTTTGTAAATTGCTATCTGTTTTTCTTCACAACAATACCGAGTGTGTAGTTTAGTAGTACTTATAAATTAGGATTTAGTATCGACTTTGGTTAACGAACACGAATTTCTTGCATTTTGGTTAACGTTTATGAGATTACCCACTCCATATTGTAATACCCAATTGGTTATTAATAAGTACTACCTCCTTTCTTTCTTTCTTTCTTTTTTTTTTTAAATGACATTATGACTTTATCAACAATTAACCAAATAAACGACGTTTTAGATATTTTGTACATATATTTCTATTATTACCCTCATCTAGCTAATAAATACACTACGTTTTTCATATTCACTCTTCATCTTTTCTTAAAACATCAATCTCTATCCTCATTAATGAACATTATAATTGACAAAAAGATATTCTTAATTATTGTACAACATTTCAAAATGACATTTATTAAAAAAGAAGAGAGTATATATTTTCCCCAATTGATTATTACTAAGTACTCCCTCCTATTTTTAATAAGTGTTGTTTTAAGAATATGCACAGTAATTAAGAATCATTTTTTTTTTGTCAATAATAACCTTCATTAATGGGGATAGTTAATGTTTTAAGAAAAAAATGAAGAGTGAATATGAAAAGACGTAGTGTATTTCATAGCTAGATGATGGTATTAATGAAAAAATGTGTAGAAAAGATTAAAACGTCATTTATTTAATTAATTGTCGACAAATCTAAAATGATATTTAAAAAAAAAAAAAAATAGGAGGTAGTATATATTTTGTGGTCTCAACTCTTAAGAGCAACTCCAAGAGTTTCCCAAAAAGTGCTTCCCCAAAACAATGTATTGGGGGCTCTCCCTAAAGAAAACTTCCCTAAAAACTTATCAACCCACAGCAGATTGCTAATAACTAGTCCCTAATATTTTAAAACAGGCCACGTCATTATAATTGGGCCCATTGCCACGCACAGAACTTCCCCACAACATATTCAACGCCGCCGCTAGGAGCTCTCCCCAGACGTCTTCGCTGCGATCTCCAAATTCGGTATGAGTCAACGAAGCCTTTCCATGCAGCTGGTGATGAATTCGTCGTCGGATGATGACGATGATGATTTCCTCCTCTCTGTTACTCATGTGGCCATGAATGCCGATGAGTCTGATGATGAAACAAAACATCGTGGTTCTATCCTAGGGCATCGAGTACTTGAGCGAGACAGACACGCAGGACATCATAGGTTGTACCAAGATTATTTTTCAGATGATCCTACGTACGGACATAGTTATTTTAGACGAAGGTATGTAAACAATAGATTTATTTGGACATTTTTTTTTTATAAATCCATATATATATGTCTCATTACTTTTGAATTACAGGTTTCGAATGAGGCGTACACTGTTTGTACGCATATGGAATGCCGTGGAACAACATGATCAATATTTCATACAGAAAATAAATGCTGCCGGTATACTTGGGCTGTCTAGTCTGCAAAAGATCACTGCAGCATTCCGAATGATAACTTATGGAATAGCAGCTGATGCTACAGATGATTATGTACGTATTGGCGAGAGTACTGCTATTGAGAGTCTGAGAAGGTTTGTCAGTTCTGTTGTGGAGGTTTTTGGAGATGAGTACTTGAGATCACCTAATGAAGATGATACTGCTAGGTTACTAGCAATTGGAGAGAGTAGAGGTTTTCCTGGTATGCTTGGCTCGATTGATTGCATGCATTGGAGGTGGAAAAATTGTCCTTCAGCATGGCAAGGTATGTACACCGGGCAAGTGCATGAGCCTACAATTATACTTGAAGCGGTGGCCGCTAAAGATCTTTGGATTTGGCATGCTTTCTTTGGGATGCCTGGTTCCCACAACGACATCAACGTTTTGCACCGGTCTTCTTTATTTGCACAGCTAGCTGAAGGTCAAGCTCCAAAGGTGAATTATACTATTAATAACAACGAATATACAATGGGTTATTATCTCGCCGATGGCATATATCCCTCTTGGGCTACATTTGTGAAGAACATACCTGAACCACAAGGTAATAAGAAGAAATATTTTTCATCTGCCCAAGAAGCTTGTAGGAAGGACGTTGAACGAGCGTTTGGGGTTCTACAGGCTCGTTTCGCAATCGTCAAGGGACCGGCTCGATTTTGGGATGAAGACACCCTCGGAAAAATCATGCGAGCTTGTGTCATTATGCACAACATGATAGTTGAGGATGAGCGCGATGAGGAACATGATTTAATTTATGATGGAGTGGGAGAAAATGTGAAGATTTCTCATGATGCGACACCTGAACTTGAGGAGTTTATTAAGAATTACGAAAATATAAAGGACAGAGAAATTCACAATCAACTTCGAGATGATCTCGTTGAGCACCTGTGGCAACATCATACAGACCTGTACAAATGATTATTTTTATATGTTCATGAGTATTATTGTAATGACAATTTATATAAATTAAAAATTATTGATTCAATGTTTATATATTTTTTTTTTAATTTCATGTAGCAGATTTTTTTTTTTTTAATTTCATGTAGCAGATTCAATGCTAAATTCTCTTTTCTTTGAATCAACCTCGTAATATATTCGTGTAGATAACAGAAAAATGTCAAATTGACTAAATTAGTTTATAAAATTACCTATACTTTTCCTGTTTCTGATGCTTTTTCATTGTTTTGCATAAACCTGGAAGATCAGTCGGTGCTACTATGATTGCGATTAAACTATATTGCTATTAATACTCTTTAGAAGATTCAAATAAAAATTAAGTTCAAACATCACACAGTACCATATGGGAAAAAAAAAATCACAGTAGCTACTAGTACTATTTAGAAGAATAGAATTCTAATTAAATACTCGACTCATGATCTCAGCCCGCAAGCACATGTAGTATTTCTTTTGCTCATCTGGCATGGCACTAAGGTCCATGGCCATAATCCTCTCTTCATCCCTCTTTTTCTGCAATTGGACCTCCTGTCTCCTCACCTCAAGAAGTAGTTTTTCATTTGCTACTCGTTCCTGTTCTAGAGCAAATGCTTTGTTGAACCTCTGATCTTTCTTTAGCTCTTTCTCCTCATCAGTTTGTTTTAACTGTGCCCACATACTTTCTAAGGTTGCTATCACACTTTTTTTCTTCTCTTGCAGCAATGATGCTTTTGCCTTCTTCTTACCAATTGGCCTTGTCAATGCATTAGCATCTAAGTCTTCAACTGCATCTTGTCCTATTTCACTTGGTAAAGTTGCACTCGGATCAGCAGTAAGCCTTGTCTTCTGATTCTTGTTAGATGTTTTAGCAGCAGCCAATTCATCAAGTTTAACAAGCCATTTCGGTTGTGTTCTCAGCTTATCCCAGCAATGCATGAACTGAAATGCTTTGTTATGTTGGTCTTCGGCCTTGTACAAAGCACATGCCTCTGCAACCTGCACACACCAACATCCAAGGGATATTCATTTTTTAGATACAATAAAAATAGTCGAAATAAATCCATCTTAGACAAGTGAGTAATTACCTTGTCTTGCATTGTAGTACCACTTTGACGCCTTAACTCAATCCGTGTTAGACATCCACAAAAATTATTCACACATTTCTGTATGGTCTCCCACCGGTGCATTAGAGAATTAATGGTACGCGTTGATTGGCACGTCTTGTGCTCATGAAAATAGTCACAGATACGAGACCAATACCTGCCACCTTTTTGATCTTTGCCTACGACCGGATCCAAACTTATATTCAGCCACGCTGAAACCAAAACCTCATCTTCGTGGTCACTGAAATTCTTTGATCTCTTATGGTTTGGCCTCGCAGAGGGGACTGCTGGACTAACTTGCATTGCTTGTGACTGATGGTCAACATTCGTGTTGCTATAATTATCAAAATCCCCTAGATTGGTTTCAACCAACATGTTGGAAAAATATCCATTTCCTGCAAGTATTTAACCAGTGATAAGTCTTCAGTGAAAGCCTAAGCAGTGTCAGCTACTTTTTGATTAGGAAAAATAATGTTACAACCATTCCAAACTAGATGCAGATCAATTGTTAAAGTGATACAACTATAGAAAACATTTAGCAGCAGGTCCAATTGAACTATGGCACTTGATCATAGAGCAGCACATTATCAACAACACTTGATCAGAATTCACAACTTCTATTTTTAACAGATCAACAACACATTATCAAAGATTTGCTTTTACAGATCACTATACAGAAACCAAATTACTGTTGAAGCCATGTCCTCTAATTGAAACCAAATTACAGAAACCAAATACACAACACATTTATGTTGAAACCAAATTACAGAAACCAGATCACTATACATAAATCAAATCATTACAGAAACCAAGACTCCACCATCACAGAAAGCCGGACGTGAAAGCCCTGCTACAGAAAGCTCTAATTGAAGCCAACCGAAAGAGAGAGAAAGCAATATTGGACATACCTAATTCCCTTCAACCACCATCACATTCTGGTGGTAGTGATGATGAATCTGAGGTTAAGTGACGAATTCCAAGAACGAAACATGAATTTGATTGACGAATTACTGTTGCAGGTTATGAAATTCATACCATTTAGAAAAGTGTTGTCGTTGGCCATGTCCTCAAAGGATGCAGAGGGGGCGTAGCTGCCAGAGTACGGCCCCGCCAGGGGATCATCATTGTCTTCGGCAAGGCCTGCCATCGGAGGACATGATGGTAGTCGACCCTGCACCTCACTTCGTAACTCAACTCCACCTGTCTGGCCAACGCCATCGTTCCATTGGGAGTTGGGGCCGCCGGCGGCCATGACCCGGTGCATCTCCTGGCCGCCGCGCCGCTGTTGCCTTGGCCGGATGGGATCGCTTGGTGGCTGCATCTGCAACCCTTTCGCGCCTCCGCCGATGCTTGCTTTCCCCTCCGAATATCATAGAGCGCGGGAATGGATCATATAGCGCGGGAAAGGAAGAAGGTGGCGATTGGGGAAGGATTGGCACCGCGCAAATATCAGCGGCAAGGAGCTCTCGATTGGGGAGGGCAAAAAAATGGGGAAGGTTTAGGGGATGTGTTGGAGGGTAATTTTTTTGTGTTTTAACCCTAATAGCAGATTAGGGTATTTTACACAGCCTTTTGGAGTTGCTCTAAGTACCTATTTTTTATTGAAAAATGCTAAAATTTGGATCTTCAATCTCTCATATAAAAAGTCCAAAAACGAATATAAATATGAACTGACCCACAACCCTCCACAGCAGTACTGTTTTGGAACCCTAATTGCCGGCGCCTCTGTGAGGTTTAAGAGCGCCATCAACAGACGATCGATCTTCTGGTAAATTTCTCGGCCGAAGTACTGGCTATTCAATTTCAACCTCATCTCTGTGTTAATTTCTCATTGTTCATGATACTGTAATCTTGCTCATTTGTAAGCATGATTTAACTTAGGACTGATTTTTTCATTCATTCTCTCTGTTTTTTTCTTAGTGCAGGCCAAAGATAGCTAAGATGTATCTCCAATTTTATATCAATGAAAATGGTGACAAAGTTTACACCACGAAGGTACTTTTGAATTTGGTTCACCGTCTCTGTATATAGCTCGTCTAGATTAATCTTGTTGTTATTCTCAATGTATGACTTATCCCCTTTTCATGTACTGCAAAAAGTTTATAACATGTGTGTTCGAGAGAAAGAGAGCTGTTGTTTGTTTGATTTGTTGACAATTAACCGAGATGCTCCATGGATTAGGCTGCCATACTCTACCAACCGATATACATACTTTCATACTCAAATGTCGTACTTTAAAATACTATATAAACATAAAATGTGACATTTTTTGTTTTTAAGTATGGTTGCGTAATCTAGCGGCATTTGTGGGATTAGATGTATATGTATTATCAAATTATAGATCATTATGTAGTTTATAGATGTGCAGGAGAAATTAGCTTCATTTAATTGTCGTGTTTGTGGCTAGCCGCCTATGCCTCCCTTATTGTGTTTTTGTGTGTGAAAATGGATGCCGAAAAATATATGGAGAAAATTTGTTATGTATTTTAAACCCCGCCCAAATTCAAACTAAAACTACATTGTTTAGAGTCTAAACTAGAAACTAAAAAAATAAACGAAACGACATCGTTTCTATTACTGAAACGTAAAACCAAAAGACACAAAAAGAAATACCACTTTTAACAAAAAAGAAACAAAAAACAAAAAGGAACGAGATGCTCCTTGCAAGCATTCATACCTCACACATCTTCAACACCTCCTCCTCAAGTCCTCAAGTTGGAGCAGGACTGAAAACCATGCCCAACTTGGAAATAAGATGCTTGAAGTGTGTAGCTGGCAGAATTTTAGTGCTCCATGCCAGCTCGTTTCTTTCTCTTAAGTCGCATTTTTTTTGTGTCTTGTGTCTTTTGGCTTTACGATTTAGTAATAAAAACAATGTTTTGTTCATTTCTTTAATTGTTTAATTGTTAGTTTGGACTCTAAGTGATGTCGTTCCAGTATTAGTTTTAGTTTGAAGTTTGACTGGTTTGCCCCACGTCGAACTGATTTTGCATTAAATAAAAACAGATTTTACCCATATATTTTTTGACTTCCATTTTCTACAGTGTGTATGAAAATGTCGGTCTTCCTTTAGTTTCGTGTTTCCAAAAGATGATATGTAGAGATGTACTTTTATATATTCTGTTCAATCGTGTTCTATTTGAGTTGAATCTATTGTTTATAATCATTGATTTATGGCAGTTGTGCAAGAAGAGATAGTATGTTACACGTTTGATCTCATACTGAATTAAGCTTTCTGAGATGGTAATTAGCTGAACCTCATTTGATTATGGTGAGCTTGATTGGAAAATGCTATTTTCTTTTTTTTTTTGCACTTTGCAGAAGGAAACACCTGTAGGTTTGGCCACACAATCTGCTCATCCTGGTAAATTTGCGTGTTTTTTTATTACAACTTTTTTTTAATCAGTTGTTGCTCATATATTTGGGTATGCATGTTTGGGTCGGTACTCTCAAAATATTATTTACAGAGTATTTATGTTAGAATAATGTGGTTTAGAGTGTTGGGCAATATTATATCCTAGAAAACATGATCCTCGGAGATTGTTTCATACTTTTTTTTTTCATCTTTCTTCCTCATTTTATTTTCTTATTTGATGTTCTGTAGAGTGTTGAGGAAAAATGGCCTGAAGGTGTTGGGAACCTAATTGGAAGAGTTGTCATCTTTTACTATAGATTCATCTGAACTACTTAGAAAACTATTATTTGTGCACAAATGTTTCTATTAGCTTGCCGAACCATTATATATTCATCTTATGAAATGTCATACTTTTAGTTATATTGTATTTTAAAGCGTGACATTTGAGTGTGCAAGTAAGCATATCTATTGAAAGATATATGTATAACTGCCTAATAAGCCTAACTAAAGAATTATCGTTAGCTTTTTATATTTCATATGGTCCTTAACCTACTATCCATTTCTAAATCGCAGCTCGCTTCTCCCCTGATGACAAATTCTCGAGGCAGAGAATTCTACTCAAGAAACGCTTTGGTTTGCTGCCAACACAACAACCGGCGCCCAAGTATTGAGTCTCCCCACTAAGGCTTTTCCGTACTGAAGTGCTGGGGGACCTCACGTTTTTTTTATAATCTTCTTGTGTTCTAGATTTTTGTCATGCTTAAACGCAGATTCTATTTGGTATGAAGTTATTGTTTAGTGTTAAAACATTGACAATGCAATATCTTCAGTGTGCTTAACTGTGATCCCTTTGGTGCTCTGTTATTATTGCTTGATCGTTACTTCTCAAGTTGTTTTCTGAGTTATGTTACATTGCCTGAATGGTTGAGGTGCTGAAAATACATATAATAAGCATGTGGCACTCTTACCATTGTGATACTATCAAATTAGACGGTCAAGATCTTTGCCAACTCATGATTTGGCAATTTGATAAAGTATATTAACTGGTTTTAATGACAACGAAAAGATTCATCTAATTTCTGAAATGCTTGTGTTCATCCGTTTACTATTCGAACAAAAATATTCATGTGTGTTCGTTCGATTATTGGTTTGACAAATTCGTGTTCATTTATAGTCGAATTTGTTCTTGAACAGTTCGAATTGTTCGACAAGTTCGTGTTCGAATTGTCCGACAAGTTCGTGTTCGCGTTTGTTGATTCTTTTTAATACCATACAAGTTATTTTATTTAATATTTAATATATATCTTATTATATATATATATACTAATTATAATATATAAAATTATAAAATATTTTTTCGTTCGCGAACGCTCATTTAGTTCGATAACTTGTTCGTGTTCGTTCGATAACTAAACGAGCATAATTTCAAGTTCGAGTTCTGTATTACTCAATGAACGAGCTGTTACCGAACACGAGCGAACACAAACAAGCTTTGTTCGTGAACAGTTCGGTTTGATAACCAGCGGCGGATACAGAACTTTTTCCCAGCCAGGGCAATATGAAAAAATAAATACTTAATCTTTTTTAAAAAATTTCATTTCAATTAAAAAAAAAAAAAATACAATCTTTTAGTCAATGATGGGAAGGTAATTGTCCACGACGCGATTTCATATTTTGAAATCGATGCATTATAGCATCATTGCTAATGCTATTAAATACATCTTTCTCAATGTAAACAAGTAAACTATCATTCATCCATTGATCACCCATTCTATTGCGGAGTGAATTCTTCACGAGATTCATAGCCGAAAATACTCATTCCACTGAAGCTGTAGCAACCGGAAGAACTAAAGCCAAATTTAGAAGCTTGTAGATCAATGCATAAGTTAGGTGCTTTCTTGTCTCCACCATTTTTTTTGCAAGACCACCAAGTCCCTTAAGTTGAGAAAAATTAGTATTCGTTCGCATATCAGTGATGTAGATATCAAGCTTGTCTTCAAGTGCTAGCACATCTCTTTCAGAAAAATCTCTCGGATAGAATTTAGCAAGGCGGAGTAACTTTTGCTTGTCGAAAGCAGAAAATGAATCATCCGGAGTCAAGCTTGCAACACAAATGAGAAGCTCAGTGTTAACCTCATTAAAGCGGTCGTTCAAATCTGAAAGTTGTCTATCAATCACTGAGTAAAAGACATCCACTCGATAATGATGTAAGACAGTTAACTTCTCAGCCCTACGCTGAGATTTTCCATGAGCAACAAACATAGCATCC